TGGGACAATTAAATCTTTAGATCGAAAAGTTTATTCATGGGATTAATGAAATGGATGGAGTGTCAACCAGCTTCTCTGATGATGTCACATTTGGAAGCGGCTTTTCCCAGGTTGTGGTGATATCATGATACATCATCAAACATATAAAGTGATGTTTTCTTTATAAAGTGGTCAAGAAGCTTGGCTGGCACATCAATTAACACGACAAATTTAAGCATCAGGTGCCAGCATTGAAGTAAAAAAAACAGAACCGAAAATATTATACCTATGTTGGATATAGGACCGTTAATATTTAGATCGGAAAGTATATTCAGGAGGAGATGGGTGGAGAGTCAACCAGCTTCCCTGAAGGATATCACATTTGGAGGGTTTTTTTTCAAGTTGTGGGGATAACATGATCCATCGTCAAACCAGTAAAGTGGTGTTTTCTTTATAAAGTGGTCAAGAAGCTTGGCTAGCATATCAGCTGACACGATGCCTTTAAGCATTAAATACCAACATTGAAAAAACAAACAAATAAAAAAAAACGGAACCGAAAATACTATGCCTATGATGGGTATGGGACCGTTAATCGTTAGATCGAAAAGTTTATTCATGGGTTTAAGAAGATAGGTGAAGTGTCAACCAGTTTCCCTCATGATGTCCCATTTGGGGGCTGTTTTTTCCAATTTTTTGGCGATACCATGATTCACCATCAAACCGATGAAGTCGCATTTTTGTTATAAAGTAGTCAAAAATCTTGGCTGGCACAGGAGCTGATGCAACACATTTAAGCATCAAGTGCCAGCATTGAAAAAAAAAAAGCAGAAGCAAAAATACTATGCCTATAATAGATATGGGACCATTAATCTTTAGATCGAAAAGTTTATTCATAGGTTTAAGGAGATGGGGGAAGTGTCAACCAGCTTACCTGATGATGTCACATTTGGAGGCGCTTTTTCCCAAGTTTTAGCGATACCAGGATACCTCATCAAACCAATAAAGTGGTGTTTTTGTTATAAAGTGGTAAAAATGCTTGGCGGACTCATGGATTTAAGGAGATGGGTGAAGTGTCAAATAGCTTTCCTGATGATGTCACATTTGGGGGCGGTTTTTTCCAAGTATTGGCGATACCATGATTCCTCATCAAACATATAAAGTGGTGCTTTTGCTATAAAGTGCAGGAATGGCAGATGCGTTTAAGCATCAAGTGCCAGTATTGAAGAAAAAGAAAACAGAACAGAAAATACTATGTCTATAATGAGTATGAGACCATTAATCTTTAGATAAAAAAAATTATTAATGGGTTTAAGGAGATGGGTGAAGTGTCAACCAGCTTCTCTGATGATGTCACATTTTCTACACTTCCCAGATTCCTCGTCAAACCAATAAACTGGTGCTTTTGTGATAAAGTGATCAAAAAGCTTGACTGGCACATGAGCTGATACCAAGAGCTTAAGTATCAAGTGAAAAAAACAACTAATACATAGATACATTTATGTAGATACATAAAAAACAACTAGGATGGTATACTAAATGTTTTTTGTTAATGTATGTCTTCGTGCATTAGAGTTAAATAGTACATATTTTTCTTCTCACTTATTAGGATTTAATATAGAAAAAGATTTTGAAAATGTGGGAAGCGAATAATAGTTTCCTAGAAATATGGTAATTTGACTGTCAGAAACGGGACATGAGTTATGAATTGAATTCTGTCATAAACACTACGGAACGGAGCAGTTGTCATCAGGAGAGAAAAGAAAATTTATAGTAGAAATGGAAATTTTTTTCGTCCTAGTTTACTTAATCTATTAAAAAGAGATTATATTCACAGAAAAACTCCTTCGGAATAAACCTGTGGATCTTCCTTTTTTAACGAATATCGATTTTTCTTTTAAGGCATCAAATGGTCTCAAAATTTTTTTTCATAGTCTTTAGTACCCTTCCTTTAAATTTTAGCTTCTTAAGCGGAACGAATGAATTCAAAAGATGAAAAAAAAAAAAAAAAAAAAAAAAAGAATTCTATTGTGTTTGTGGGAATTCAAATTTGTATTTGTACATTGTAATTTAATCTAGTTTTATTTATTTTAAAGTTTATTGGAAATGTCTAGTTTGTGGTATAAGGATAGTTCTTGCTACCTTTAGGGAGCTGATTCGATCCTCACTGTGGTATGCATTGTGGCTACTCAAAAGTTCAAAAGAGGTAGTTCAAAAGAGTAGATTTCATGGAAAATGTAACAAGGTGTCTCGTACCAACATCTGAATTATCTGGTTGGAATTTGTCAGCCAACTGTATATATATATATATATATATCCAAAAGTATGCATTCCGTATCTAAAGTCATTAAAGACTAGAATCATATAACAAATATGAAATACATTGATGGAAACTTTATGCTTTGGAATAAAGTTTTAAAAAGAAAGAAAAAATTAATGTCAATTTAATATTTAATTTTAAGATAAATTCTCAAGCTCATTTATTGATTTACCAGAAGAAATTGACATCATAAAAAGTTATAAAGTCGCATCACATAAAAATTTGAAATCATAGTGGGCTGTCAAAAAAAAGTGAAATTTTTTTGGTACATTTTTAAGTATTCTCCTACTAATTTTCTTATATTTATTCTAATTTTCTCTCAATAAGGCAATGAATATTTCAACGAATTACTAGTGCATTCATAAGGAAAAGAAAAAATAAACTTTCAATATTTAATAGTAAAATTGCCGGGAGTATAAGTCTCGATAGCAAATCGCTAAAATCATCGACAAAAGTCTTGCAACAATGTGAAAAATTATAGAAAAATCCAGGTTGAGGGCAGTATTCGGAACGATATGAAAATTGAGTGGCTGTGCATACTTAAGAATTACAAATGTCTGTTTGTTGTTAAAAAAAGTGCACCAAAATTGGAGTATCATGAACACAAAGAAAAAAAAAAACAATTTGTTGTTACTAATCCCTCTGGTGCAGGAAAGCCTACACTAGATCCAAGAGATCCCATCGCAGGCGATTGGTTCATGGCTAAGGGTACTATTCAGCTTCACTTTAGTGAGGAACCACGAGGGCTGACTGACTAAATCTGAAGACAAAGCTCTACGATCATATTATACCGGGAACTACGATTTAAAGGGGATTCTGAGCCACTACAAACATCCATGGTACAGTCGGGATTCGGACCCGAAATCTGTTGTACCGAGCGCCAGAGCGCTATCCACTCGGCCATCAAGCCCCGTAAAAAGTAATTTTGTTAAGTGATGCAATCCTGATTCAATTGGTAGTGTTTGATGATGTCATACCAGTGTCAGGTATGTTAAGGAGACCGTTAGCAAGCAATGAGAAAATAATACGAAAACAGATCAAAATTTTTTAAAATTCTGTTATTGCTTCAGGGAGAGAGTAATATAAACATTCAAAAGTCCTATTGGCATTAGAAAATTTCGGGAAAATCCAATGCAAAATTTGAACCAAAGAATATGAGAGGAAGTGTAAAACAAGCCATCAATTCGATTATGTTTTAGGAATGCATATCATTAGTTTTAACAGGTAATTTAGTAACAATCTGTGGCATAATGAATCAGCACAATTATGTAAGCATTTGAAAAGTAGTGTCGACGGGCATACATCTCAAAGCACCAAGCCAAGTCAAGTTAAACTTAGCTGAGTTGGGGCTACATGTTTCAACAAAACATTGATCTAAAGAATACATTTTGAGTTCTATACTAATAACTGGATTACAATGAGTTAAAAAAGTTCAAAAGTTCCTCTTCAGTAAATTGATTGTTGAAAATGTTATAGATCTAGAACTCTTTAGAAACTGTAACTTTACTTCGTCTACGAATGTTTTCCACTCACTCCATAGTTGGCAGTCATCGGTGGTAGACGTCAATTATGTGTCTGCATTTTTAATATTATATATTATGCATTTATATATTCTTGTGTCGAAATAAAATTAGGAAAAGTACTGTAATATGCAAATTGACTGACTACATCCCGACCTTTTGGATACCTGCTTAACGGTTCGTTGGACTAGAAAGGTAAGAAAAATTTCATACGAAATTTTCTAGTTTAGCAAATTGTTTGGTGAGGTAAAACTGATATTAATCTTACTGAACATTTGTAGGACAATCTAGAGCAACTAATTAGGAAACAATGAATTTAAAAATAAAAATGATTTGATAGGAAAGATTTGGTGGTTAAATATGCAGAAAATACCATCTTCTGAATTCAAAATGTCATAAACTCCATACCAGTAAGATTGTAAATAGTGATGAAAGCCAAATGCTATTTTATAAAATAATAATTTTAGATGTTGAAAGATATCTACCTTGTTCCATCCCTTCCTTGTTTCTTTCTGCATATTTTTTTTTATTGTTTATTACGTGTTATGTCTAGCTCATATGTGAATTAATATTTGTATTTTTGTAAACCTGTTTTTTTTTCAAAATACGTTATCGCGACTGCTCTGTCTACTTAATTTGTGACATTGTATATATTTATATACTATAATTTATTTAGTAATATAATTTTTTAACGCTCAAGGTGGTAGAAAAATCTTGATTTGTTGTTCTGAAATAAATATTTAAAGAAAAGTATAAAAGGCAAATGAATAAGATTTTTAAGTTTGAGAAAGATTTTATAGTTTTTTTACTTTATGTACAATTACTTACCTACGTGTACACTTTTAGAGGAATGGAGGATATGGATTCTTAACTCCAGTTCTTCTATATTCTTCGCAACAGTGCTATATCAACAATGGATAAATCGTTTATTATCTGCTTTAATTAGTCTTTTAAATCTGTCAGATTCGTTCCATAAACAAGACCTTTTACAAATCCCCAGAAAAGGAAATAAAGTCAAACAAACGCAATATCCGTTGTTTTTTAATAAGTACATAATAAAAAACCAAATTATAGACATTCTATCTTCCGTGCCACAAGAGTTGCACACATAAAACAAATGCAGAAAAAGTAAATAAAATTCAAATTTTCCATTTCAAATGTTTTAAACTATATTTCATGCTGCCAACGGCCATACCATGCTGAATATACCGGTTCTCGTTCGATCACGGGCGTGGTCAGTACTTGGGAGGGTGACCACCTGGGAACACCGCGTGCCGTTGGCATTCAAAAATATAGGGCCTGATGGCCGAATGGCTAGCGCTCTGGCGTTCGGTACCACAGGTATCGGGTTCGTATCCCGGCTTTGCCATGGCATGGGTGTTTGTAGTGGTTCGGAATCCACTTTAAGCCGTAGGTCCCGGTCCTAATAGGATGGTAGAGCGCTGCGGGGGCATTGTCACTTCGCGTCCGTGGCTTACCATCAAGTTACACGCGCCCCCTGGGTAATGCAAAGTGAGTAACATCGGTGCAGCCCTTATGGCGAAGATCACTGTCTATTTGCCAGCTGCATTAGAAGAAAAAAAAATAATTCATGCTTCATCATAAAAAAGAAAACAATATTTTTTAGTAATTTAGTTGAGGATTTTAATCAAAAAGAGAGTAGCTCTAAATTGCTCTGATTGAAGAAATAATTAAATATTAGGGCGAAAATTCAAAAGATTTGTCTTCAAAAAAATTTGAAACAAATTTCTCATGTGAATAAACAATTTTTAATGGAATGAATAATAAGTATGCCCAAAAATTGGTATTACAAACATTAAGAAGTCATGCATAGAATTATTTTAACAAATATATATCCTTTTCCACTATACATTTTTCAATAAAACACAGAATTTACACGGAAAAAGTATACTATGTAGCAATTTGGAAAAAAGTGTAGATAAATTTTCTCATAGTCACTTTCCTCAATGCTAACAACTAATCAATAAACAGAAAAATAAAAGATTGTCTCAAAGATATAGAAGTACTGAATACCTTAAAATGTACAGTTGCAAATAATAATATCAATGAGAGTTTGAAAGTTAAATTGACTAAACTTTAGAGCAAATACAGATTAGTACAATTGTCTTGAAGTATTTTGAAAAAAAAATATTAAAAAAAAAAAAGACATATATTTACGTCTTTTGTATTTTTTAAAATATTTAAAAAAATATATTTAAAAAAAAATATTTTAAAAATTATTTAATTAAATTAAATTAAATTCTTTTATTTCTTTTATTTTAAATATACTTTTATTTTTTAAAATGCATTTTTTAAAATATTTTTAAAAATACTTCAAGACAATTTTACAAATCTGTATTTGTTTTAAAGTTTAGACAATTTAACATTCAAACTCTCATTGATATTAATATTTGCAACTGTACATTTGAAGGTATTTAGTACTTCTATATCCAGATACTGTTCATGTTCATTGTGGTACTTTTATTTTTCCGTTTATTGCCTAGATATTAGAATTGAGGAAAAGTACCTACATGAGAAAATTTAACCTATACTTTTTCCAAATTGCTACGTAGTTTCATTTGAATTTTGTATTTTATTAAAAAAATGTGTAGTGGAAAAGGAAATATATTTGTTAAAATAATTCTATGGATGACTTCTTAATGTATGTTAATACAAATTATTGGTCATTCTTATAATTCTCATTCTATTCACAATAGAGTTTCTTTACTGGAGAAATTTGTTTCAAATTCTTTTGCAGCTAAATCTTTTGAATTTTTGGACTAACATTCGCTAATTTATTTCATCAGAGCACTTTTGGGTAATAATTCTCTCTTTTTGATCAAAATCCTCAACTAAACTCCTAAAAAATATTGCTTCTTTTTTTTATTCACTGCTAAGCAAAATTATGATGAAAAAAATTAAAAAATATTTAGTAAAAAAAAGTGTTATTTTTTAAAAGAAAGTTAGAACTTTACCTAAAAATGTTGGATAATGTTGCAATACTTTTTAAAAAAGTGTCATAAAATATATTTATTTAAATTGAAGAGCTGTAAATAAAATTTAAAAAAAATCATAATTGTGATTCAAAAGATTTAGGAATATCAAAAATGATTTTTATACGCATAATTCCATCTTAACAGTTATCAACATGCTCATAATTGAAATACATAGGACATAGTTGCCAAGACAACCTATCTGAGAAACAGACGATAAGAATGTAACATCTAATTATTATTCAGTATACACTAGATAGACATTATTATTATTTTGGTTACTTATTCGGAATTGTTCCCTTTTTGAGTCTTCTATTCTATTAATGAAGTTAATGTATTTTGATTGTAACAATTGATCATAAAACAACCTTCTATTAATTCGATGTGTATTAAATTACTTCAAGTATGACGAAAGTAAAAAGAACAACAAATGATGAAAGTAAAAATAGCAACAACTTTACTTACTAATGACATCTCGGCATATTTTATAGGTATATATTTTTCTGTACATCGGTTGAACTTATATTTCATTAATTTGTCATGAAATAATACACCGATAAGTGATGATACAGAAATCATTGCTTTTTAGGAGGATTATACTTTTGATTGTTTTATTTTTAACGTATAAACTATACTTAAAAAACTTAATGTTTTTGTCTTCACATAAAAATATTTATAATTAAAACAAATGACTCTTTTTTTTGGTGGATCGAAATATGAAAAGTACTAATTTCAGTTATCAATATACGAATAAGTTTGTAATGAAACTTTTCCTATGTTATACAAAAGAATATCCTATTGGAAAAATTATGTTTTTCTGAACATTGTTTTGTGTTTAGTTACTAGGCAATTTCCTACCCCCATAAAAATAGTAAAAAGAAGTCACCTTTTAATTTTATTTTCCAACTGTTATTAAAATATTTCTTAGAAGTGAACTATTCGTATTTCTCTTTTGCACAGTATTGCAACAACATGTAACATATACCAGTATCAGATGCAGATGTTGATAGATATAACAGACTGGATTATAAAACTAATAGCTCAAAAGGGATATTCATAACAGTTATGTTGAAAAAATAATTTTTCTCTTCTGTTTTGGTGGAATTTCTGTTGATAGTCCTTGTATGAGACCACAATTCAAATATATTTCTAAAATCATGTCTATTTAATCCTGCTATTTTATTATTATTGCGCAGTATTGCAACAACATATATAAAATATAACAATATCAGAAGCAGATGTTGATATATATAACAGACTGGATTATAAAACTAACAGCTCAAAATGGATATTCATAACAGTTATAATGTTGAAAAAGTAATTTTTTTCTTCTGTTTTGTTGGAATTTCTGTTGATAGTCCTTGTATGAAACCGCAATTCAAATATACTTCTAAAATCATATCTATTTTATCAATACTTTGCATCAGTGTACAGTTAATATTGTGTCTGTATAATTGCTTTCAGAATATTAAAACAATTACTATAGGACACTTCTTGTATATATACCTCATTTTATTAAGTCTTTTCTTATACATCGAATTGTTAAAAAACTCAAAAAACCTGTCTGAAGTTCTTCAGTTACTCAAGAGACTGGAAAATTACATCGGTAAGAATTATATTCATCATAGAATTACACTGTATTTCTACAGTAGTGTCATCATGATGATATTAGATTTGGCAGATGATATTTATGCATGGAAAAACGATTCTGATGCAAGTGATATTTTGGATCCTTTTAGATTAAAGGATCCTAAATATTGCTTTTATATCCATATAATCTTTGTATTCTTTCACTGTGCATGGATTTTAGTTACATATTCCATCATTACTTCTTTCATGTTATTTTATGCAACAATGTGTATGATTTTTGCTAATATTTGTAAAGGCTTCGAAGGAAGTATCAATAACAGATTAACATTACCAATAAAATACTATAATAAAATGTCAGAATTGGTGTATAAAATAGATAAGAGAATTAACTACTTGTTTTTCCTGTGCTTGATCTTCTTGCTGTCAATGTTTATGCGAACCATTTATTTAGCAATGTTTGTTTTCATAGAAGTTCACAACTGCATCTTGCTACAGGTCACTGTCCATAGTTTGACCATCGTATTCATTCTCGTTCTCTCGGGTATACAATTGAATGAAGGATTTAACTTACTAAGCAAAAAGATTACTTCTTTACCAATTGAATTCAGTGATAAATACTCTTTGTTATGCATGGTTGTCATAGATTGGAAAGAAACAGCTTTGACCGCGGGGGGTATGCTGGATATAACGAAAAAGTTTGCCGTAGTTTCTGTTACAGTTGGTATATCATATGTGATTATCATGGCTACATTAAAAATCAATCCCTTCTAACAATAAAATGTTTCTCATTAAGATAATTTTTATCACGAATTTATCAGCTATAAATGATATTTGGCTTCTCTACAATGGTGATGCTACTATTATAAATGATTTGTGCTTCTCTACATGAAATTATTTTCAAAACTGCTGCTAATTGAAGAAAGTAATAAGCTATCTATATTAAAAAAATTTCGTGCAGTATATGAATTATGCAAAATAGTGTAATTTTTTATTCTTAATAGCACTAATATATGTGTAGATGTTTTTAGAATTATTGTCGTGAAGTAAATATATAGTTTTAGTTCTGAAGAGAATAGTCTTAAAAGTACAGAGCTTTTAATATTAACTTCTGATTTGTGTTTCATTGGTGTACAAGCAACGAGTGTTTCTTTTTTTACCGTAACTCCGCAAGAAATCACGAATATGAAATACGAAGGAAAAATGAAATGAAGAAAGTGAAGGAAATATGAAATATAGAATGCAGAGATAATATTTTGCACTTAAAAGATTAAAATAGCTTACTAATGCAAAAATGAATAGAATGTATATAGAATAAAAAAAAGACTTAATCGAAAGAGTAACTCTGATATAAATTTGCCATATTTGTCTTTCCAAGAAGAACAACAAACAGATGCTCTTTAGTAAAAGATATGACCTTCCTGAACTGAGATGGTTGTTTGGCACCGTCTGTTCCTACTCAACACCAGGTTATAGTGTTATAGTCTCGTAACCCTGTAAGTTATGGGGTACCTCACTTTTTCTTTCTGGGATTGTTATTTTTTTCACTTTTTATTTCAAGTACTAGTTGTACTTCATGTGTTCTAATCCTCGTTCAAATGTTAAAATATAGTCTATTTGATCTGCTGTTTTATCAATTTCTTTCTTTTTCATATTTACCCATCCTATTTTTCGTTGCCGAAAGTACGTGCAACGATTC